TATTCCTTACTAATAATAGTGGAATAAATGGTTGTAGAGAACCAAGTAGATGTACAATAAATTGAACTAAAGGGTAAATCGAACCAAATGGTGGAAAAAGATTCGTACGGTCAACCTGTATTAGATGTGCCAAGTGCATTCATTTCGTCCATATTTGATGGATCATGATCCATGGATTCACTCGTGATCATGTCTGATGCTACATGCATAACTAGCGTATTTAATATTTCTCGTTGTTTGGTATATGCATACATATATAAAATGAAACGATATGAACTTGATTGATTGAATTGTTGTGGTAACATAATGCACACAATTAAATTTGGAATTACAAAATTGCCACACAAAATTCAACCAAATCAGCTAAACATCCAAGCACCTTACCTTTTAGGATCATCGTGATTTTGCCATGATGCTTGCCATTGCTTGTCATAAAATGTAGCTTCCTCTGCTAATTTTTGTATATTTTCAAAATCTTGTGTCTTTCTGAAAAGGATCACTCCAATAATTGTAAGAAACAGAGCAGCCTTGCATATGAAATTTCCTGCCTGACCAACCACATCAAGCCCTGTTAAAGCATCCACAATATAGGACATGAAAAATCCCACCATTGCAGCTCTACCTGCAATAAATAGTACATTCGAGTTCTGAGAAATGATCATGTTGTCGACTTAATTTATCGAGTACAAGAGATTCATTTGCCGGTCATATATCGGAGTGTTAAATTATGGATAAGCGAGGTCTAACCATTTAGGACCTCAGCCTCAGGGAGATGAGAATGCTTGATCCATGCCCACCAAGGTATGACAGAGCTTCTAAATAGCACCTGTTCTTCATGGGTTGCTGCTTCTGGATGCTTTTCAAGATACTTTCTTCTCCTCGCTTCTACAAGGTTTGAAGACAAGAAATGCAGCCTGGTTAGCATTTTATTGGTTTATATTTAGTGAAGTCACAGTTCATAAACCCTTGATTCTACACAACGTAACAGTTTGATTAAATGATACAAAATCGAGTTCCAGTACTAGACGATTAATCTTAATCATAACCATGACTCGCATGTGTACAAGCTCGATCTCCCACGTGTATAGGACAGACGATATAAAACTGTGATTCATTCACCATTCCCATGAAGTATGAGACAAATGAGTGCATTTCGATTAAGGCCTCTTGGTTGAGAGAGTTAAAAAATGCAAGGTTCGTCCACAGGTGGTCAGCCTAAGTGTTAAGATTGCAGTGATGATAATGTAGGGGAGTTAATAAACTAAGAGCATGTTTCGTATGTAGTACTAGGCGAGTGATAAAAGTATAGCAAATCATGCGGAGATTTCTTAGCCAGTGAAGTAAATTTTGATTGCATTTTTCAACTGTGAATAGTAATATCAGTTTACCAGAAGTAATCATAGTATCCCAATCCATTCTACCATGCTTAACAAACATATTTAGATCCCACGTCCCATTCTTCCATCTTTCATCTGAAAATCTTGGATACAACGATTCTGCATCGTTCCAATGGTCGATTTCATCTCTAGCTCCCCTGGGAGTTTCAGTAGTAAGGAATGTAGATTTCTCTTGATTATCAGCTAGTTTAAGGCCATCAAGATTGGGAGTGACAACATTTGTTGCTTGCTTTAAACGTGCAGGTCTAGTTTGAGGTGGCTGTTTCTTGGTTATATGTTGAGAATTGCAAGCTCTTTGTATGGAGGCAGTAACACCAATCGTTGCCATGGGGAACAGATTTTTTTTTTTGCTCTTGTTGGGGGTTCGGATGGATATGAAGTACTAAAGAAGCCCATGCTTTTAGAATAAATAAGCTTATCTTCTGTGACTTTCTGTTTTCCAGCAGTGTCACGTACAGGCAATTCTATCTGTTTTTCCTTCCATGCACAACAGAGTAATTTGGCTACTGTACTAATAGACAATAGTCCATCGTGCGATCCTCTAAATGGGGCTACAGCACAACCCGACTAAAATGTACAACCGTAAAGGGTGCAAATGAACAAATTTTAAGTTGTTCAAGCTCAATCAATTCGTAACAGATGAACAAGAAGAGAGTGTAGAGCAAGTCTATTATTGGGTTATTATATGCCAACCACAATTGTAACTCGCACACAAAGGGTGTAATTTTAGCTCGTTAAGAGTGGATTTATGTTGTCAGATCTCAATTATCGATTCATTTATCGTTTCAGTCGGCAAAGTTCAAAGTTTAGCTCAAACACAACTTGTCTTTTTCTCCTGAACTTCATGAACTTTAAGGGATATTTTGCCAGAAGAAAAACAAAATTGCTACAATTAGATCAAAAAATGTAAAGATGAAGCAAGAAACTGTTCCAACTGTAGTAAACAAAATAATACGTCAGAATGAGGAAGAAAATTTAATTTGCAACACGCTATAGTAGCCAAATCACTGCTGAGTTCACTTTTTTATAAACCAAATCGTAATATGACATAATATAAATTCAGATCAAGCATTGGAACAAAATCAAATACATATCTTCCAGAGTTGTCAATAACTGCTTTTCGAGCACGAGAATTTAAATCCGTGTCGATAGGCCAAGAACCAGATACTGCAGAATACTTTTATTCCTAAGAGAGATGGTTCTTCAGTTTGGAGAAAACTATAGCAAAGAAAACGAAAATATACAAATCGTCCTCAGCAGTTAATCAAAGAGAAAGATATTTCACATACACTAAAAAGGATGGAAAATACATGCCAAGGAGAGCTGGTCCTTGCAGGACTTTGGAAGATACTAACGGGGGGCGCGAGTGAATGTTAGGAGTAATAAACTTGAAACAAAACTACCTCTCCCCATTATAATATGCTCCGTTTGAGGAGTTGTATCTGGACTGTTGAAATCACCCATCTTTCCTGTTCAAACCATCAATTGTCACATGAAAAAAAAAAGGATATCCTATTTTGTGTAACAGATCAAAAGAGGAAAAGAGGAATAATCTACTTTCTCTTTCTTCGATCAACTGCACTGCTTCTTGTGTCATTTCTAGCAAGTGCAGATCCAGGGGGCATTCCATACTGCATTGGAGAAGGAACTGGACCAGCAGCAGGGGAAGGAACGGGAGGAGCAGGAGGAGCAGCTGCAATGGCCGGAGGTGGCAAAGGAGGAGGAACAGATGTTGGAGGCACAGCAGCAGGTTCAGGAAGTGGTTTTGGTAATATATGCTTCAACCGGTTGTTCCGATAGTTCTTCCAAAAATAAAATTGCTGCCTGTGTGCCAGTTCCTAAAAATTCGAAGCACATATATTAGATTAAATCCTCATTGAGACTGGGTTACAAGATAATTTGTGTAAATAAAAGCAAATCTCAGTATCTAGGAGCACAGAGAGATTACAAGAGTTTTAAAAAGAACTATTGTAGGTAAGGCATCAAGAAGATACAATCCGCTAGAGGAACTGATATGTAGCCTTTTCACATGAATTATTTTTATATTTTTCCAGTACAGAGCTCTCTTTAGTCACAGGACAAAGACACTGTAAACTAAGTAGTAGCGTCATCCAGAACTCCAAATCGTGTTTTAATGGATAAGAACTAACAGGGAAATAAAATAAAAATGGAAAGAGAAACCATAATATGAAGGTCTGTAAAATTCGACCTTGCTTCCAGGATGCGCCATTGCGTTCCGAAAGTTGGGATTTTGGAGAAGCTCGAGAAAGAAGAGGCAATGTGGATACCTGTGAACATCCCCAAAGATGAGTCTATATAAACTTTGTCTCTAAGACCCATGAGAAACTATTATAGAAGGCAATCCAACTATTTGGTATCTTTTAGCACCACTAGTTACTGAAAGAAAAACACTTCTGCACCAAGAGAAATACAAAAAAGGACTAACATATATTGTTAATTTGACCAAAGGGGTACATTTGGCTTACATTATGTACTTTATATACTCAGGTCTTTGCCAATATTGAAGGTATTTCAGGTACCCAATAAAAGCTTCATCTTCAAAATACCGATTCTGAGCCAAATCTGCTCCAAGAATTCAAAGGGCACACATTATGCCAAAAAATAATAATTACAGGAAATGAATGCCATACATTAAAAGCACAATTTAGAAAGCACAATTTAGTATTCACAGAAGAATTCAAGACAATTAAGAAAAGCTACGAATGAAAGTACTCCCTATAATACTTCTCAATACAAAATCAAGAGAAATCTTGAATGAAGGGCATCTATATTTTCTTCAAAAAGGATTCTGCAAAATATGCTTACAGTGGATGTAGGTGGGATTAGCAAGGCACTGAACGAATTCGAGTTCCAGCAAGAAGCGTTGGCGGCCATCATCTGGATCCTTGTACATGTTCTTTGGCCTGTAATTAGATTTAAATAAAAAAAAGTAAAATTAATTCCTACTCAAAACCACCCAGAAAAAAAAAATCGAAAATAAAAAAAGAAAAATTAGAATTTTTTGAGAGAAGAAGATGCTTACGAGGACAAATTGGGTTGTTCATTGGATGAGTCTCGATTTGAACCCATGGCTTAATCAATAAAATCAACGGACAAAAAATCAATTAACAAAACCCTACTTATTTTTCTTCTTCAGCATCAGATGCATTATGCATAGAGCACCTGACTCGAAAGGAATATAAAGACCCGCTGAATTGAGTTCTTGCAAACCTAATATTTAATGTTTAATTAATTAATAAATAATTTTGTTTTAATTATTCATAAATGAATAAGAATATTAAACTCCTTTTTTCCAAAATGTCATTTTCACCTACATATTCTTCCATAAAATAATTTCGAAAGTAAATTTAAAAATTTTCTTTATTTTTTAACCACACAATCTCAAAAAAATCACTATTTCAAAANTATATATATATCTTGTAAGTGCGTATCAATAATATATATCAATTATTTTTCCTGATTTTTTTCTATTGAATTTTGGAGTTTTGATAGAATACGCGTAGATGGTAAACAAATTATTTGAGAAAGATTTATATTTATGTTTTTATTATTTTGCTTTTATGTTAAAAAATATGAATTTTAAAAAAATAAAAAAAATGTATCATTGGGTTGAGTCGGTTACCTAATGGGTTGATTGCTTAGACCGTAATCAACTTGACCTGACTTTTTTCATGATTAAAATTAATTGAACCAAACCAATTTCTTGGTTCAAACCAATCCAAATCGACCGGAGTTGGTTTGGTTTGGTCTGTTTGATTATTTTTCGATTTTTTGCCCACCCCTACCTGCTGTGCCTCTATTTGGTTCACTTAAAAAATTAGATTAAAATTTGAGTTAAAATCGTTAATTAATTTTAATCACACATGGAACCCACACTTTTTTAATGACAGATTCCATTAATTTTTATCAAAATTTACTAAAAAAATTATTTTTAACTAAACCAAAGGAGCATAAATTACTTATTTTGATTTTTTAAAATAATATAATAGTATCCATCCAAACCTTATATACTTATAAATATAGTTTTATGTTAACTATCAAAAGTACTTTCATGTTAAGCCCATGTGGATTAAAATAAGATTTTTAATAATTTTTTATAAAGGTTGATCCAACAAATTATATAGTTAAAATTAACAATTAATTTTAACTTAGAATCTCTACCTAAAGGGGTAATATGTTTGTGCATTTTATTAACTACCATTTAAATATCGTAAGGAATTGTATCTTTGTGCACATAACAAGAAAAAGAAAACCGAGTTGAAGGGGTAAAAATTTCTGGCTAACTATAACCTGATTTCAAGAAAGTCATTTAACTTCATTTTATTACAATTAATCATCGTATTTATATTTTCGTTTCAATCGAGAGGCTAAGATTACCTGCAGCTACCTCGTTGAAGATTGAAACAAAATATAAATTTAAGGAATCCAACAAAATGAAATTCGACAACCCACCTGAAATCGTGACATAATGCTAGTAACCTCAAGAATTTTCTACCCTCGAGTGAAGTCATTCAATGCCCTCAACTTCATCTTTGCACAAGTGAAGCTGCGGACAACTTGTTTCAAGCTCGTCTCTACTACAAGAATTACAATGCATAATATAGTGCTCGTTTGGCCACATTATTCTACATTATAATGAAATGAATAGTAATTTTTTGGATAATTATTTTGAAAAAATAATTGTATAAAAAGAGGAAAAGTTTTCGAGTTTACGTATAATATTATTTTATTAAAAATTGTGATGGATAAAAAGAGAGATAAAAATGAATTATAATTTAATGAAGGTCAAACGATGCAATAAAAAAGGGGTAATATGTTTGTGCATTTTATTAACTACCATTTAAATATCGTAAGGAATTGTATCTTTGTGCAAATAACAAGAAAAAGAAAACCGAGTTGAAGGGGTAAAAATTTCTGGCTAACTATAACCTGATTTCAAGAAAGTCATTTAACTTCATTTTATTACAATTAATCATCGTATTTATATTTTCGTTTCAATCGAGAGGCTAACTAATGGACGTCGATGGAGCAACTTAATTGAAACAAAATATAAATTTAAGGAATCCAACAAAATGAAATTCGACAACCCACCTGAAATCGTGACATAATGCTAGTAACTTCAAGAATTTTCTACCCTTGAGTGAAGTCATTCAATGCCCTCAACTTCATCTTTGCACAAGTGAAGCTGCGGGCAGCTTGTTTCAAGCTCGTCTCTACCACAAGAATTACAATGCACAATATAGTGCCCGTTTGGCCACATTATTCTACATTATAATGAAAGTAATAGTAATTTTTTGGATAATCATTTTGAAAAAATAATTGTATAAAAAGAGGAAAAGTTTTCGAGTTTACGTATAATATTATTTTATTGAAGAATATGATTGATAAAAAGAGAGACAAAAATGAATTATAATTTAATGGGGAATAATAAAGGTCAAACGACGCAATAATTGTATAGCTAATTGAACTATCCACATTGCCAATCATAACTTTCAGTCACTAAACACAGGCAGCAAGCCAGTCAAAAAATACACGTAAAGAAAGTATATCTACAAAATGCAGTACATTAACATGGAGTTCATCGGCTAAAATAGTATCTCCACTATTGCATACACTAAAATTTGCCATTGTATTGTACCGTACCCGAACTAGTGTGTAGAAATGAACAACTGGATTCTTCTAATAATGTCCAAGTTCTGCATTAGCTAGACCCTATGGAAGCTTGAAAGTTCAACGAGTCTCCCAATCCTTCAGTTTCTTGCTTTTTGCTATGGGTGCACTATTCCAGCCATTTTTGCTTTGTACTTGGCCCGAAGAGCATCATTGCAGGTCCATCTGCAAGGCCAGAAATCAGTAATTAGCAAATCAATGACATGAAGTTGATCCATTATACATAATCGATATCATGAATGTGATGATAACAGCCCAATCACAACGGTCTCTCAGCTATAAGGCCTCACTTAAACTGACAAAGGTACTCAAATAAGTAAAATTTTGGAGTAATTCAGACTGTGATAGCAACAATCAATCACAAGAGCCTTCCAACAACAACAGTCTGGCTTAGCCTATGTTTGGATCATGTTTATAAAAACTCAAGATAATTTTTTATCCACATATTTTGAGCGACCCTCAAGTGCTATCCTCTAATCCACATTTATTTAATCTTTTATAATTTAAACCGTTTATAAACACTTCCTACTAATATAGGTACTCAAACAAGTAAAATTTTGTGGTAATTTGCTTGATGATATATGGTTTAAACACTCATAACATGTTTGATTCACATGAAAGATACTAAAACCTTGTTCATTATACCATCCGTCTTATCCAATGGTGTGTACCAAAGATACAAAGAAAAACAAACACCAGTTCAATATCTCTAGTAGAGTCAATCGGGATTCTTGATGTAACACAATTTCAATCATTATAGATGAAGCTAACAATTGACAACTCTACAATATGGTAAGAAGATATGATTGAGTCAAAATTTGTTTAACCAAATAAAAAATTCCCCATTCTCTCTTTGACAACTAATTTGCATGTTAACCATTATGTAACTACCATTATTCATAACCAAATGCTTAGGATGCGCAAAATGGCCAATTAATTAAATGTGGTCGTTGAACAAGACATAACATTTGCAGATTTTATTTCAGAATAAAAAAATTAAAGTGTAAATTTACAGAGTTGCTCTCTTGATCTCTCGCTCTTCATAACTAAACACCCAAAACAATTAACACATAATTAGGCACATTTATTCATTTCCTTTATGGACAAATTTACTTCATTCTTTTCTAAATTAGCATAAACAGGAAGATAATGTTGAAAAAACTATTGGTATTACTTACTCAGAAAAGTAGAATTTCATTATGTTATACATTAGAATTGCTCTTATTTCAAAAACAGGTTGTTTACAGAGCATACAAAACAATCAACTGATAGCACAACTGATATCCAAATGTCTATTTGTAGCATCTACCACTGTGAGCATACTGTATTTCAACCATGTACTTAACAAGATTCCTGAACCAAATGGGAATTTTAAGTAAGAAGCACTAACGGGTAATTCCCATCAGTTGTGTCTTCATGGTCAAGATTAGTCCATTTTACTCTTCGACTACGACCAAAGTGCCTAACCTGCATCTTATCCTCCCCAGTTGGAGCAGAGAAATCACGAGAGTAAATATTATGTGTCTTAGCAGTTCCAGCATGATCATCAGGATTCGTCTGGAAGAAAGGACCCTTATGGTAGTATTTCTGCATGAACCTCCGCTTTCGCTTGGATTGTCCAGTAGGCTTTGGATTCTTTCTCTCCCACTCCCTCCTCTCTTCCTCTGTCATGTTTCTCACCCTCTCAATCTCCTCCTTCTCCCTCAACATTGCCTCTTTGTCATCTCTAACCCCCTTGATCCTAGCAATCTCTCTGGCCTTCCAAGCCTCATATTCCTCCGCCTCATTCACCTCATCATCAGTATCAAAGTCAGCAATAATTGCCTCCGACTCTATATTCCTCTGAATCTCCTGGTCCTCCCTAATTTTTTCAACCACAAGTTGCTTCGTCTCTACTCTCCTCTTTTTCATCCTCCTTTTCTCGGCTTCCTCAAGTGCCCTCTCTTCTGCCTCGAGTCTCTCAAGTTCGGCAATTGTATCTCTCTCAGATTTTGGAACAAAAACTAGTTTCACCATCACAATGGCCGTCGTTTCTTCTTCAGAATCAGTCTCGTACTCAGACTCCTCTTCCTCAACTTCCTCCTCTTCTTCCGGCATGAGTGCTGCCTCCTCTTGTTGACTTTGCAACAGTTTCTCCCTAATCCTTCTTCTCCTCTGCTCCAATGCATCCTCATCCTCCAAATCTAATCCTTCTTCCCTCCTCCTTTCCTCCTCTATCGTTGAAACAATCTCAGCCTGCCTAATGCATCTACGATCTTCCCTCACCTCCTCACGATTATCAATCCTAATCTTAGCCAAACGACGCAATCTCGGATCATCCTTCCGCATAACATCAGTCTCCTCAAGACTCGGGAACGCTTTTTCAAGCCCAGCAACCCTTGCCATCCTAATGTCCCCATCTTCATCCTTGTCAACCGCCCACTCTGGTGCTTTTCCCGGCCAGTACCTGTTCACTTTTGCCTGGCCAATTTTACCCCTAGGATTATCCCCATTTTCAATTGCTGTATCACTAAACCCTGCTGTCACAGCCATGGCTACAAGAAAACACAACCACTTCTACCGGGGAGAAGAAGAAGAAGAAGAAGAAGAAGAAGAAGAAGAAGAAGGCTTCTCAGTTATCAAAACTTTCACTGGTAGAAATTTGAAACAGTATCAATCAGTAAAATATGGTATGATTTAATAGGATAGACCAAGAAATTGAAAGTAATCTGTAAATTCATAAGAATGATTTGCCGAAATTCAGGCTGCGAATTCAAAAGATCGATTAGGTATACTAGCATCTGTTCGAGGGGATGAAGATCTCGTACCCAGCAATGGCTTTTATACGACAATGTTTAGACACTTCCGGATGAAATAAGGAAACTTTTTGGTCTTGAAGTAACGGTTGAATTTGACTTTTATACGACAACGTTTAGACACTTCCGGATGAAATAAGGAAACTTTTTGGTCTTGAAGTAACGGTTGAATTTGACTTTTAAACGACAACGTTTAGACACTTCCGGATGAAATAAGGAAACTTTTTGGTCTTGAAGTAACGGTTGAATTTGACTTTTATACGACAATGTTTAGACACTTCCGGATGAAATAAGGAAACTTTTTGGTCTTGAAGTAACGGTTGAATTTGACTTTTATACGACAACGTTTAGACACTTCCGGATGAAATAAGGAAACTTTTTGGTCTTGAAGTAACGGTTGAATTTGACTTTTATACGACAACGTTTAGACACTTTTCGATGAAATAAGGCAACTTTTTTGTCGAGTTTTGCATTGTTCAGTCCTTCTCTGAGCCCATATTTGGTATTGATCAAAATCAATAGGATAATATAAATCAAAATTAACAATTTACATGGAATATACAATTTTTCAACTACACATTTCATTAATTTTATTAAAATCTACTAAAAAATTAATTTTAATGCTCACCAAACAAAGCCTAATTCTGTTTGCTCAAATCGATTCCTTTTACCATTTTTTTCCCAGGATAATTGCAGCAAAGGTCCCAAACCTTTCAAATTTTTGCACACTTTACCATAACCTTTGATTTGTGCCAGAGGAGATCCCAAACTTTTCAAAAATATGCACCGGAGGTCCATCGGATGGATTCCGTCCAGTTGACCGTTAATTGACTAAGAAAAATGATTTTGACCAAATCTACTAAGGGCAAAATGGTAACTTTAAAATTAATATTTTCACAACTATTATTACCAATTAAAAAAACAATTAAACTAAAAATAAATAAATAAAAATGCCCCCACCCCCATCTTGATCTTCTTCCTCGCAAAGAAGCTTTCGCCGCCGCTGCAGTAGCACCTCCTCCACCACCGCATATTCACTCCACCACCACCACCACCTCTGCATACTGATCTAACAACCCCCAACATCTTAACATCAGGAACCACAGGAATCCCCCAAACGGATTTTCAGATCCGGTGCATACATGTGCCAAATCGTCGATTCAATCATCCATTTAGTCTCATCATCCACCGCTGCCAGATCCTCCACGAATCTCCTCACAGACCTCATCCTCAGCTCCCTCGTCGTCGCTGCCAGATCCTCATCCTTGATCTACCCGCAGCCGTGAATAAACAATTCCCATCCGCCTCCACCTCACAGACAAATAAAGAACCCCCACCTAAAACCAGCGAAAATACTAGAATCCACAAAATTAGGCAAGCAATAGTCATAATTATTGTTAGGCTTTTTCTGTTTGGGCGGTGGTTCAACGNCTTTTATACGACAATGTTTAGACACGAAACTTTTTGGTCTTGAAGTAACGGTTGAATTTGACTTTTATACGACAACGTTTAGACACTTTTCGATGAAATAAGGAAACTTTTTTGTCGAGTTTTGCATTGTTCAGTCCTTCTCTGAGCCCATATTTGGTATGGATCAAAATCAGTAGGATAATATAAATCAAAATTAACAATTTACATGGAATATACAATTTTTCAATTACACATTTCATTAATTTTATTAAAATCTACTAAAAAATTAATTTTAATGCTCACCAAACAAAGCCTAATTCTGTTTGCTCAAACCGATTCCTTTTACCATTTTTTTCCCATTTCTCTGTCAAGTGCTTGTTTGGAATAGTTTACATTAGGATTAATTGAAAATCCCCTTCAAATTGCGATATACCCCCATACCTATTGAAAATCGCAGAAAACCCCCTATTTGAAATATTTTGTGCGAAAAACCCCATATCGTCCAATTCCGTTAATTTTACTGTTAAAAATAGTAAAAATTGCAAAATTAAAAATGAATAATTACAGTTGTGATCCTAAACTTATTTATTTATTTTTACAAATTACACCAAAATCTTTTATTTGTAAGAAAAGATTACAGTTGCGATTTCTAGGGTTTGAAGAAGTGAAAATATTAGGAAGAAACTACGTTTTTGGGTTTGGGCCACCAAAATTCACGGATCCTTGAAGTACTTTGCAGTTTAGATTCACTTTCTATTTCTGCAGTACTCTCTATGTAAGTACTACAATACTGATCTTGATGAGAAATTAGTTCCTCAAACTCGTAAATGTTAAGTTTACCTGAAATAAATGTTGAGAATTGTGAATATTTATGCTCTATTGATCATTTGGAATATGAATCATGGCCACTTTTACAATATATAGGGGAGCCAGCAGTCACACAATACAACATTTCTGAGAATGCCTTTAATAATTGTGAACCTCCGGTGGTCACGACTGAGAATGCTGGTGGCTATAAGGTTATTACGTCAACTGTTTTTGCCGAGCAAGAGCATTTAGCAGCAACACCACCACCACCATCGCTGCCGTCAGTAGAGCATTTGGGCATGTGCGATATGAGAGGGTTTGAGAGAAGAGTAGAGATGATGGGAGAATTTTGGAGATTTTTTGTTTAGTTTGGGGTGGGATTGGGGGTGGGGTAGAAGATAATTTTAAAGGTTTGAGAATATGGGTGGTACAAATAAAAGATTTTGGTATAATTTGTAAAAAAAAAATAAAAAAGTTTAGGATCATAACTGTAATTATTAATTTTTGCAATTTTTATTGTTTTTAACGGTAATATTAACGAAATTGGATGGTGGGGGGTTTTTCGCACAAAATATTTCAAATATGGGGGGTTTTTTTTACGATTTCCAATAGATAAGGGGTATATCTCAATTTGAAAGGTTTTTAGTGGGTTTTTTGCTATTATTCCTTTAAATTATAATATAACCCACGATTCTCCTACAATGTGTAAATTTTTAAAAATAGACAATGATTGTAAATTCTGGATAAAAACGTATTTTATTGACATTATATCTTGTATACTTAACACTATTAACATGATATAAAAGTGAAGATCAAGTTCATTGCGAATACCGTGTCAACAAATACTTTTTAATGTGTTAAGGATTGCTCGACTGAAATATTAATGGACAAAATGTCTAGTTGAGCCAAAAATTCTACTTTGACATATTACATTTTGTCAAGCAATGGGTGATTCAGTACTGCTTAGCCATAGTTTGATGACTAGTATAAAGAGAAATTTGAGGAAAATTATATTTTGAATAGTGATTTTTTAAAAACGTGTGATTAAAAAGTATGAAGAAGTATTGATTTTACGTGCATAAAATTTATTATGTAAATTTGATTAAAAATAAATATGAAATAAAGAATTTTGGTTTAATGGGAGTCGGGGGCTTAATAAACCTCCAATTTATATATTTTCTTCTTTCCATAGTTTTCTCTTTTTATTTCACAATAAGGTTCTCTTCTATGAAAAATGATGTATCTCCTGTTCAGTTTTAGACAAAACTAATTGAGATTTCTAATTTCGTACACACTATAAAAATTGGATGTAAATAATTTGACAAAAAAAAAAAAATAATAATAATAACAAGAATCACATAAATAGAGAACATTTGTGAGAACACGTAAACATTAAACACCTTAAAAGGCCTCATGTAAAGAGGCGTTATTTTTCTCTATTATACCACACTAGGACGTCACAATAGTAATAGTAAAAAAAAGGATGGGCCGCATCCTTAACGGCCCCCACCAGCTCTGTCTTGGGCCTTGATGAATGAGGTAAATTGCAGGTTATGCCTCCAAGGATATATGGTGGAAGACTGCTTATATACTTAAACTTACGCAAGGACTAAATCCATATTTCAAGATTCGATCCCTTGATGTGATAGCCTCAAGATTCTTGATCTGTTCATAGGAAGAATTCACGGTGGAGTGATCATGCTTGTAAAAAAGTAGATTTATCCCTAATGTTATTTGTAATATATATGTAAATAAGTTAAAAGATAAAACATAACATCTTCTCGATGAAACACGAGTTTGTAAAGATACTTACTTCCACACTTGAAATTATGAGGAACTTGCCTCCCACAATCTTGAAATAGTTTCAGTGCACGTTGAACTTCAATAATAGTTGCCACTTTTGAAGTAACGTAAGGACAAACACGTTCAAAATGAACATTTCTTGTCATTTGGCGGCAAGTAGCAGTCGGATTCCTACTGTAAATCGCTGACCTACAATTGCTAATCAAACCACTCTTCTCCTCTTTACATCGACTCAGGTCAAGTCGCCGAGCACCATCGAAACCAGCCAAGCACCCCCAGTATCCACTATAGCAATCAAACCCAGTATCATAACCCATTTTCCCAACATTTTTTCAAAACCTCTAATTTCTAATAATAATATTCAACTTCTTGTTGCATGCAAGATGAAGAACTAATGTGACCCTTTATATAGGGAATAGTAAAGTTGGTGTGGCCGTTTGGAGTGTGCCATCTCAACCTAAATACGTTGACATATGTAGACCTTTGAAATCTTATTTTTGTATAGTACCTTTTCTTGAAGCTGAGATTTTCTGGTTAAAAATATTATTAAATTCATGTTAGCTACAACTAAACGATCTTATTAAATTTTAAATAAAAAATCAATAGTTAAAATTAACTACATATTTTATGAATCCAAGCTCGACTATGGCCCAAGGCAATCAAAAAAACTGAAGGAAATTTTTCATTTCTAAGAGATTAAGTATGACCCATTTCAAAACTAAGAAGCAATGCTTAAAATTTTTAAAAATCAGATATTAATTAAATATATTAACGTCACAATTTTATACAATTTGGTCACAAATTATCGAATTAATTGGTCACAAATTATTTTTTGATCACAAATCACAAATTTTATAGGTCAAAACTTATTTAATGGTAACACAATATCAAATTAATGGGTCACAAATTATCAAATTATTGGTCACAACTTAACACATTTTTAGGTCATACGTTATTTATTGATTACACATTAATCAATTTATTGATCACAATAAACTAAATAATTTTTTTACCACCATCTCACTATTGATTCCGCTAGCAGCACCGCCACCAGAACCACCACCACCTAACGACAACCAACATCAACACCACAAACTCCACCATCTCAAACAAACTAATTGGACCATCGTGACCACCACAACTGCCATCTCCACCATCGTCGAACACCATCGCTTGCACCACCATCTACACCATATCCATAACCATCAAACACAATCGCCTACACCACCATGAACACCAAAATAAATGGTCACAAATACTCACCCAACGCACACTGCACATCACCTCGTACTGCACAGCATACCTCACACAACTTCCATCTCGCACCATACACTACCACCACCGTACATTAAACACCACCGCCACCGCATACCATCACCCACAGTACAGTACAACACAATCACAACACACAATTCACTCGTATCACACCACAATCGAACCACACAAAAACTGTTGGCCACCAAACTCAGAAATAAAAAAAAAATAATTCTGCGATGGAGTAAGAAGGAAGAACGCGTAGCAGCAGCAAATCGCGCAACGGTGTCGTTGACGGCGCTCTTCGACAATGGCTTCCAGTGGCGACTTTCGGTGGTTGCAATAGAGAGATAGATTAGGTGGGATAGAGAGAGAAGTGAGAAAATAGAGATGATGAAAATGATTACGGTTATGTGAGGGTGGTTTTGTATGTGTTAGGTGACATGAATTAAATATTTTGTAATATAATTATTAATATTTAAAATATCAATCATCATTTGATTTTTCAAACAAAGAAAAAGTAAATCTTAATTTTGAATTTGGAAGTTTAAAACTCTGGCTTGCTGTAATTTTCACATTCCAAAAATTAAAGATCAAAGAGTGAGAGTGAAGATTATAAGCCCATGTTTCATGGCATTATTTGGAGTGAAATGAGTTTTGAATAGTTATTTTTTGAAGAATGCATGATTAAAAAGTATACGAGTATGAGCATTAAAAAAATTTGAAATAGTGATTGTCCAAAGGGGGGTTAAAGAGAAAAATACACGTTCAAAAGTTTCAAAATAAATTTTAAAATATCAAGTTATTATAAGCCCCGTTTGACAACCATTATTTTCAAAATTTTTTCTTTTACGTACACATTTTCAACCACACTTTTACATAATAAAATATTCTACACATAAACTCAAATTTCTTCATACTTTTTAATCACACATTCTTCTAATAGTCACTATTCAAAACCCTATTTTCCCTAAATAATATTTGTCAAACAGGAGCTAAATGTGATCACCCCACAATAATTTTATAATTTATTAATTAATTAAATAGGTCAATTGTCACACTAACACAATTTATGATTACATCATTTATGAGTTATAAATTGCACAAGATTACAATAATAAAAACACAAATTGTGAGTTAGAATTATAAATTTAGTCACAATTCATACATTTTTTAGGTGACATTATTTATTGGTTACAAATTACCTATTTTATTGGCTGCAATTATTCAAATAATTGAACACTATAGCTCTTTATCACACTCTACACTTCACCACCACTTACGCCACTTAATAGGTCACACCACCTTACCACCATCGCCATCGACACCACCACCACCACATCCTCAAATCTACCATCACCTCAACCTGCACCTCCACCACACCACTACTTGTACCTCCACCACACCACAGCTCAAATTGCTGGAGATCGCTCCACCAAAATTGCAAATTGCACCACTCAGATTGCACCAGTCCATGAACCCTTTTTCTTTCACATAGACACAAATTGCATAATCCAGATTGTTAGAGATCACTCGCTGGCGCTCAACGACGTTCAATGATGTTGGAGATCTCTCACCATCCAGATTTCAAAGGTGGCGTCTAAAGACAGAGATTTGAGTAAAAGGCACGACCTAGCAATGATGTCGGCCATGGATGACGCAAAGACAGATAGTGAGTACAAACTTGTGTGCCAATCCATCACAAGGTGTGAGAGGGGAAGATAGTGGCTAGTTTTCGTGAACGATTGTCTAAATTGTGAGTGTCAATCAAATGGATTGTGCGGTAGATAGAGAACGGAGAGATATATTATTTTTATCATTCTGCTAACTTTTCGTGCATATTATCATGTTTTCTTAGTGCAGCAGATTGAGGTAAACGGAGTCCCATTAAACTTTAGATAGAGAATGAACACTTAAATCTTTTATCTATTGAGAAAGAAATTTCGTAATATACTTAGTCATTTAGTAAAAGAGTGCTGGCAAGGTAAGAGTCAAATGCTATTATGAGAAAATACGATACAGTAGTCAAACTGAATGAGCATGTCCGACACTTCGAAAAGGGATGGAAGAACTTACAAAAAGGGCTAAAATCTATGCAAAATTTCATTCAAAGTCAAAAGCTATTATGAGAAAATATGATACAGTAGTCAAAATGTACAGTTACTGTTCTGAGTGCATTCTAAAAATAACTTGTTTGCTAGCAAAAATGAGGATAAAAATTCTGCACTCCCACTTCCCATCATCTTATAGGTGATGTCTTGAGAGACAACAAACTATCCAAATGTGAAATCCTTGAATTGGCATCCCGGGACGGGCCAAATACTTCCCAGAAGCGAAGAGTCTCATCCGCTCCAGCAAACACCACGGTTAGTCCATCCGGGCTCTGTAACATATAAATAAGATGAATGAAAGTTTTAGAACGTTCTAATACTACACTCCAATGTTAAGAAAGAAACCAAAGTTAAATTCATCTCAATGTTTGAAATATTAAGTCAGACCTGGGATAAATGGAGAACTCTTGATGTATGATTCATCGACCCACCAATTTTACACATTGAAGGGTACTTCCACAAACACAACTGGTTTTGACACTCATAGCCAAAGTCGTGACCACTTAATATCTCTTGATGATGCTTGTTCCATTGCAACCTACTACTCTGTTCTTATAAACATCAAATAATTTTAGTCAGAAAAAAATACAATTTTACAGATTAAGCCCAAACCTTGGTTTTGAGAGCATAATAAACAAACACAATCAATCACAAAAGAAACAAAGCACACGCTAGAATTTTTAGTGGTTCACCCTCAGTGTCAGAGTAACATTCACTTTGTTAATAAAGGGTTTCACTATATTGAAGAAGAACAGTACAAGTGATGTAGCACATCTCACACCATAACAAGGGCGTCCTAAAATCCTTTACGTAGTAGGAATATTAGGCTGACCTAATACATGCATGGAGGAATACCCAGTATACCCCTGAAAGTAGATCTGCAGTTGACTGGATGAGTCCAAAGTATCATCAGGCTCCACAAAGTCCAACAAAATTTGCCAGAAGTGGCAGTAATTAAATACCAGTGCATTTATAATAAGGTTGAGAACACTGTGTACCAGTGCACTTATTACAAGGTTGTGAGCACTGTGTAAAATGTTTAACTTGCCTGTGCTTTTGTGTCAATGCTGTTAATGCATGTACCCTTTTGTATATTCCATATCTTTAGAGAACCATCATCTGTGCCTCCTCCAGAGGCAAGCACATCATAGTTATATGGACACCAGGCAAGGGCCTTCACCGCAGCACAATGATCACTGAGGCGATACATGTATTGCATGGCAACCATCTTGCGTGCATCCCATATGTAAATGAGGTTGTCATTACCTCCACTCGCTAGTCTGTTTCCTGTGTTCAACCATTTCAAACCGCAAACTTCATTAGTGTGCACTTCCATACAACACGTCAAACTGTTCCTTGCTCTCACTGTGAAACAAAAATTTCAGGAATAAATGGTACACTCTTATGTTTACTATTTGGATTATAGTAGCGAGAAATGATCAAACTTGATTACCATCGTGATTGATGATAGCATTATCACTGCTTCCAGAAGTCTAAATCTGGCCCCTCAATCCAACAGAACCCCCCCTATTCTGATGCCCTGTAAGGAATCTCACCTGTATAAAGCGCTCGAATTTATAACTTGTATGAAAACAGAAGTCAAAATCTGGCCATTCCATGCAACAGAACCCACCCTATTCTGATGCCCTGTAAGGCATCTAACCTGTATAAAGAGTTTATGACTTGTATGAAAGCATGATTTGACCATGTTTGGCTAAGCTTAAAATGTTCCCTTATAATGAAATGAATGACTTTATTTTATTTAAATTGAGAATATAATTAACACATCCAAACGAGTTTTTTTGAAACAAAAGTAACTTGTTTACTTCTTTTTAAGGCTAGACAAACATTCTCTAACAAATCAGATCATGTAAAATGTCAGACTGAAAGGTCATACAATCTTTAGAGTCTCGGCATCCCAAAGATATATTTTCGAGCACCGGTATCCAGCTGCTACTGTTTTGGCATCTTCCGACCAAGCTACACCAGTAGGATAATCGTCACCATTGCCCACTTCTGACAATAATTCAGTTTTTCGATTATCAGCATTCCACATGTATAATTTTGAGCCCAAAGCAATTGCAAGAAAGTTGGCTTTCCCCCAGTCCATGATGTTCAGGTACAAATCGTTCACGATATTAGGTGCATCCAAAATACAAGATTCTCTCTGCAAAGAGTCTACCATGAGGACATTTAAGAGATTATTAAAACATTGTAATTAACAAATAAGTCTGCTTGATCTCTTTATAGATATCTTTTATGTTTCTAGATGCATTTTCTTCTTGCCAAATATTATTCACAATGGCGATTTCCATGTTATATGGAATACTTTTGTTGACAAGACCTACGAAACATAGCATACCAGTATTAGAACTGTACATTTAACATTCTAGGATCTAAGTTATCTATGAAGCAGCCTCATGTATACCAAATGTTATTCAAGTTATGGATTTAAGCACTAGTCCTACCTCTTAGAGCAATAATAAACAGAAAACAACCAGAAATGATAAAGCACACACGGATACATAGCGGTTCGTCAATAAGAGATCTATGTTTACTCGATGCTGCAAATTTTAACATTTTCACTATAATAGAGAAGAATGACACAACATCTTCTCATGCCTCTCAGTTTATATCTTACAAGAAAATGGCCCCCTAATAAATCCTTTGTACAGTAGAAACTTTAGGTCGTCGAGGGGAGAAGAGTACAATCCAACAATTCAGTGTCTTATTTCAAATTTGCTTTACCAAACAAGAACTGACTCCATCAACTTACCAAAATCAAACGAAAGCATACCAAAATTTTTTTAGACGTTACATATGCCAGATAAAAAATTATAATTACTGGGGAAAGCCGAATGTATATTCTACAAATCTTTTACCTTTGGGAATTGTCGACATGGCTTATGAGTCAAGATCTCCTCATCACTCCGTCGCATCTCGTCTATTAGCCGGTTTGATTTTCTACTCGATTTTGGGCTACCCCTAAAAACCAGCATTTGAAATGGCCTTCCTTCAACATCCAACTTCAGATTATTTTCTAGCTTTCTTCTATATTCAACCTACCATGTAATCCATACAAGAAAAATCCCCATATCAGAAATCCCTATTCTCAATAATGATTAAAATATCTCTAAACAAGATCAAAGAAAACCCCAAGGCCCAGATATAAAGCATCGTTTATATATACATCCTTTATTGAACGGCAATCAAACCTCCAAGAACACCAAAAACCCCACAAAAATAATTCAAGAAAAAAGGGTTCCAAATAGAAAACTTAAGAAATCAAAATAAAAAATAATCGACTGACTTTAAACTTGGGTTTGCTGGGTTTTTGAGTCGGAGTTGTTAACAAACTGTGGGCTTGATCAAGATCCATCAGGCTCCTATTCGGTATAAATCTATCTCCCTTCAAAAAAATAACATGAAATAAAAAATAAATAAAAATTAATCAACAATCCAAGGAGAAATTAAAAAATGCCTTCAGAAAATCAAGAAAATTTTCGGTATTACATACTGGAAAATCATACTTCACAGGACTGTTGTGGAGGCGAGTTGGAGAGTACCACCCAGATTGAAGTTTCCGATTGCTGTTTTCATCCATTATCGCAGAGCGTTTAAGAATCCCAGAAACGAAATTTGAATATATTTTCGTTTTACTGTTCTTTAATTTGTGCATTCAAGTTTTCAAGAATTTCCTTTTTTCTATTGCTGCCTCGCGCCAAAAGAGGCGTGTCCATTCTATTTGATGTGAAATGGCCGTTGAAATTACGTCTAACCGTTTAGGATTTTTCCCTCGCAATTTGAAAGGAAAGAATATATTATTTAATCCATGGTGAAAATTTCTTATCGTGTGTTATGTTAGACGTCAAGACTATCAAATGGTGAATATTTTTTATTCCCTCAAGTGTCTAAAAGCTCTAATTTGTATCAATAACGGATGAGAGAATAATTTTTGTATTTAATTTGCGAATAATAATATTTAAGATGATTAGACATCTTCAACGAAAATAATGTCTAACCTAAGATATCCAATCATTTATGGCTCATGAGGCAAGCTAGGACCAATGTTCACGATCCTCTCAATTGGTCAATGGATACCTATATATATATTTTTTCTTCTTCTTCTAAAACAGAAGAAAATAATAAAAAAAGTGAAGTCCAAATAGGTCTAGACATTGTCGGCATGATGACCATCCTATTTCGACAATTCTAATTACTATTTAAAAACTTACTCTTTCTCATACTTTCTATTTATTACTATGCGTCTGTCTGGAGGGAATTAATAGCATAATTTTTACCGTTGTTTTGACAATTTTTTGACCGTTTGGGGGAAAGCTGGGGTCTAGCTGTGAGATGGCCAGTCAAAAACTGCAGCTGTAAGTGGGTTTCCAACGGTAGGAAAAGTGATATTAATTTCCACCAGACACAGCCTATATGTAGTTACTCAAAATGACTATGATCTTCAAAAATTGGTAGGTAATCCATGATCCTATTCCGAAATTAATTATAAGAAAAAATATATTTTCAACTTAAATTTATTGTTATTGTGGCCAACACTAGAATTAGCTTCTTTTGAGCATACTTTAATCTGGTATGTAGTGTAACCATTTCTTTATTATTCCTCAATGAATACAAAAACATGTTTGCTTCTATTCACGTGAAAAATAGTAGCATCGTCACCATAAATGACGGTTATATTATCACCACAATTTTTTTTCGTTCAATTACATTTAAATTCATCCCAATTAAAATATATTTTTAGTAAATACTCAACTTCAATTTGACTAATATAACATAACCCAATTAAAAATTATATACCACAATAATTTTATTGATTTATCTGTACACCACATTAAACGCGATCAAATGTTGGATATTCAAACCCACCCAACGCCCACCACAGTACCCTTTTATGAATGTGCTAGCAAATGCCCGTGATGACTTTTCCAACCAGTTAAGGCAGCCAAATTAATTTGGTCTACATAAATATATTTTACTTTCCTTTCTTTCTCCTTCAATATTTTCCTCTTAACTCCAACAGAAAATTACTTGCGAGGAAAAGAAATTATCTGCCATGGAGGAACACAAAAGCCGCCGTGGATGAAAAAGCTGTGCACGTCCGCTGTTGAGGGAAAATAAGAAAAATTGTTCATGTTTGTGGTGGAACAATAGATTGTTTTATGTAAAAAAAATAAAATATTAAAATCCTATTTTTGTAATTTTATTTCAGGCTATTTAAGTAAATAAAAGAAAAATAAAATAAATTTGTGGTAATATAATTTTTCTAACATAAATAATTTTCTTGTTGTTTTGTTAGTTTATATTTTAATAGAAAGTTATAAAAAAATGTCATTTTAATGGAAGATTAAAATCTAGAGAAAACAAGCATAACATTGAAATCTAGAGACACAAATTATCTTTATTAAAGGTTGAGGATCTAAATGCAACTTCTTAAAGTGTTGGAGACCCCGATCTTTGTAAAATATGTGGATCTTGATCTTGACCTAGCTTTACAAGATGATGGCTAACACTAAATGGTGGAGGAGAAGATGAGTAATTATTTTATTTATTATATTCATTGAAAAATATAAGATTATAATTGTCTTTTCAATAAAAGGTCATTTTATTAGTTTTTTCAACCGAAACTGGTAGTCAAGACTATAAGTGCAACATACGTAAAATATTGGGCATATAATACTCAAATTTAAATGCTGAGGGCCCAAATGAAACTTATATAAAATGTTGATAATCTAGTTCGATGAGAAATCCCGAAAGTGCCACCAAACTAAGCTCAAAAAAACATTTTTTTTCTCAAGCAAAGATATCATATAAACATGTAAAAGTAATATAATATCCAAATAACAACAATTTTGCATCATGAGCACACAAACACATAGATTAGAGATCATATATTACAATAAATGTAAAACACGTTCTCTGCTAATCACATTGAACATTTTACTTCAAATGGCTAGTATGGAAATTTTCTAGAAATGTAAAACTAGAATGTTGTATGTAGTGGCGGAGCTAGACATTCTTTATCATGAAGTCAAAACTTTAGTTAATTTTCTTCAAGCGACATAACATTAATAAAAATAATTCAATTTATTATATATTGCATACACATTTTCATTGTCATACAATTACGTTGTTATCAATATTATCAAATGCATCAATTTCAATATGAACAATTAGATTATCGTTCAATATAATTTTTCAATCAAATAGCTCAGTTCAAACCGTGGGTTGAGGGATTGTAATGTCTCGCATTGTGGTGGAGAAAAAGTTACCAGTATTAGTGTCGAAGTAGACGAACTGAGTATAAAAGACAATTATTTCGTAAAAATGGCAAACCTAGGTATTGGGAGAAAAGTGAGATTCGAGACTCAAGAGAGCTTAGAAGAAAAATGAAAAGAAAAAGAAAACTGTGCGAATAAGTGTAAAGAAAAAAAAATTCAAAAAAATTTTGTCGTGTCAGCTAACCCCACGTAAGGGCATGTGAATCCGCACCTGGTATAAAGCAACACAAACATTGCACATAGGACACACAACCATGCTTGTACGTGGTATGCACAAACATGCACGAATTGAATTTTAATCCAAAACAAGCCATTGAATCATAAAACATCTCACCCATCCAAAATTTAACATCCATTAGGCAAAACTAACAGAATAACTAACGAAGCTGCAAATGGAAATCGTGGATACAGTAGTGGCAACAATGTTTATTGAGATGATTCTAGTGCCCATTGTAACAATTATGGCAGGCTTTGCCATATGGAGCAACTACCTAATCGTTTCTCCATAAAATTTGTGGCCCGATTCACACAACGTTAGAATAGCGAACCGGTTCGATGAAAAATCATGAAAGTACCGCCAAATTACACTCTAAAATGCATTATATTTTTTTCCAAATCCAAGATATTTTTAAAACGAGTAAAAGGAATAGGATATCAAAGCAATGGCTATTTTGCTTCATCGAGCACATAAACACATATACGTATATTTTAGAGATCATGTAGCATAATGAATATAAAACATGTGTTGTACTAAGCATACATATTAAACTTTATATCTCAAATTGCTAATAGGAAAATAAAAAAACAAAAAAAAAAAACTAGAATGTGATAAAAAACAAAATACATTGCACATAGGATACACACACCTTGCCTACACATAGTGTGCACAAACATGAACCACTTGATTTTGTTCCAAAACAATCCACGTACTCACGATATTGTTCACCATCCATCCAACTTGACATCCGTTAATCAAAACTAACAAAATCTTTAAAGAAGGTAGAGACATGGATGGTGATCACAGTGGTGGAAATAAGGTTCGTCAGGGCAATTCCAGTGCCCGTCGTAGAAATTATGGGCAAGGTTTCACCATATGGAGCAATCACTGAATGGTTTCTCCATCAGATTTGTTAGAGTTTTGATGTGACTCGAATTTTTTGTTGAAAATAATTGAGAGTTCTAATTAAAGTGCACATTAAGAAAAATTCTATTTGAAATGTTATTGTTGAATCCCATTCAAATTTACTTGGCGAATTCTAATTGAAATTCTACTTGGAATCCCATTGGGAGCAAGAATTTGTGTTGGACTTGAAGAGGACTTTGGAATGAAGAAAAAAAAAATATTTGGAAGTTTTTTGGATGGAGATGGGGAGCTATACAAGAATTTTTGAATGAAGATGATTGATCTTCATGCAGCAAAGATTATAAAAGAAGAAAAAATGAAAGTTAACACATGCAAGCAAATTTTAGGGTAAATACTTGGAGTTGAAGTGGTGACGAATTTCAATATAGAGTTAAGCTTGCTAGTGTTGGCATTCACCGCCTATAACAGGCCATTATAGTTTCAATGAAGCATAATGGAATATCAGTTGCACATAGTATTGTTAATTATGAAGTTTATGCTGGTGATAAGCATAATGCTGACATCTTCATATACTCTGGACATAGGGGAAACATTGCTTGGAAGAATAAACAACCCAAAGATCAGAAGCTCGAGAGAGGAAATTTGGCTTTAAAGAATAGTATATAAACAATGAGTACTTCCGTTCGTGTTACCCAAAGACAGAAAGAAACGAAGCCTTCAGGTAAGCTAGTCAAAGCTTATGTTTATGATGGCTTGTACACAGTGGATAGGTATTAGCAAGAAACAGGGACTGATGGGAATCTGGTTCTTATTTTTGAGTTGACGAGAATTCATTGCGTAAGGAGGCTCAAGAAGGATGCTGTGGAGAAAGGGTGAAATGAAGGATTGAGAGGAGGAAACAGAGAAAGTGAAAAAGAAAAAAGAAGAAAAGCAAATGAGTGCATGTACAATATATGCAATTTACCACAACAAATAAAAAAAATAGAAAAAACAAATGTATAGCAGACTTTGTACCAATAATAATATATTGAACTTTTAACTTCAAATTGTTAAAGGAAATTTCTTATATAAGAAAGTTATAGAGTAGCATGGATCTCGGTGTACTCCGCGTCTGTGGCATGGCGCACAAAACAAGCACAGACGCATGTGCACGATACATAATATGTGTATATATTTAATATATTGGTCATAAGTTATTTAATTTTCAAAATAAAAAAT